ACAAAGGATTATAAGAAACTATTATGAACAGAGTGAGTGAGTGAAAGTTGCTCAGTCATGTCCAACTCTTTGCAACCCCATGGACTATACAGTCCATGGAATTCTTCAGGCCAGAATACTGGAGTAGGTAGCCTTTCCCTTCTTCAGGGGACCTTCCCAACCCAGGAATCGAACCCAGGTCTCCCACATTGCAGGCGGATTCTTTACCAACTGAGCTAACAGGGAAGCCCATTATGAACAACCATATGGCAATAAAATGGATAACCTGAAGAAGTGGATAGGTTCTTAGAAAAGTTCAATCTTCCAAGACTGAACCAGGAAGAAATAGAAATTATGAACAACCCAATTACAAGCACTGAAATTGAAGCTGCGATCAAAAATCTACCCCAAAACAAAAGCCCAGGACCAGGTGACTTCACTGGAGAATTCTATCAAACATTTAAAGAGGCACTAGTGCCTATGCTTCTAAAACTCTTTTTAAAAATTGCAGAGGAAGGAACACTTCCAAACTCATTCTATGAAGCCACCATCACCCTGATACCAAAATCAGACAAGGACAACACAAAAAAAGAGAAGAACAGGCCAATATCACTGATGAACATAGATGCAAAAATCCTCAACAAAATTTTAGCAAACAGAATTCAGCAGCACATCAAAAAACTCATATACCGTAATCAGTTCAGTTCAGTTGCTCAGTCGTGTCTGACTCTCTGCAACCCCATGAATCACAGCACACCAGGCCTCCCTGCCCAACACAAACTCCAAGAGTTTACTCAAACACATGTCCATCGAGTTGGTGATGCCATCCAGCCATCTCATCCTCTGTCGTCCCCTTCTCCTCCTGCCCCCAATCCCTCCCAGCATCAGGGTCTTTTCCAATGAGTCAACTCTTCGCATGAGGTGGCCAAAGTATTGGAGTTTCAGCTTCAGCATCAGTCCTTCCAATGAACACTCAGGACTGATCTCCTTCATGATGAACTGGTTGGATCTCCTTGCAGTCCAAGGGACTCTCAAGAGTCTTCTCCAACACCACAGTTCAAAAGCATCAATTCTTCAGCGCTCAGCTTTCTTCACAGTCCAACTCTCACATCCATACATTACCACTGGAAAAACCATAGCCTTGACCAGACAGACCTTTGTTGGTAAAGTAATGTCTCTGCTTTTTAATATGCTGCCTAGGTTGGTCATACTTTCCTTCCAAGGAGTAAGTGTCTTAATTTCATGGCTGCAATCACCATCTGCAGTGATTTTGGAGCTACAAAAAATAAAGTTGGGCTTATTCCAAGAATGCAAGAATCCTTCAATATATGCAAATCAATCAATGTGATACACCATATTAACAAATTGAAAGATAAAGACCATATGATAATCTCAATAGATGCAGAAAAAGCCTTTGAAAAAAATTCAGCACCTATTTATGATTAAAACTTCTCAAAAAATGGGCACAGAAGGAACCTACATCAACATAGTAAAGACCATATATGATAAGCCTACAGAAAACATTATTCTCAATGGTGAAAAACTGAAAGCATTCCCACAAGATCAGGAACAAGACAAGGGTGTCCACTTTCACCACTATTATTCAACATAATTCTGGAAGTCCTAGCTATAGCAATCAGAGAAGAAAAAGAAATAAAAGGAATACACATCAAAAAAGAAGAAGCAAAGCTCTCACTGTTTGCAGATGGCATGATACTGTACAAAGAAAACCCTAAAGATAGTATCATAAAACTACTAGAGCTAATCAGTGAATTTAGAAGGTTGCAGGATAAAAAATCAATACACAGAAATCACTTGCATTTCTATATACTAACAGTGAAAAATCAGAAAGAAAAATTAAGGAATAAATCCCATTCACCATTGCAACAAAAAGAATTAAGTACTAGGAATAAACTTACCTAAGGAGGCAAAAGAACTGTACACAGGAAATTATAAGACACTAATGAAAGAAATCAAAGATGACATAAACAGATGGAGAGATATTCCATGTTCCTGGGTCACAAGAATCAATATTGTGAAAATGAGTATACTACCAAATGCGATCTACAGATGTAATGCGATCCCCATCAAATTACCAATGGCATTTTTCACAGAACTAGAACAAAAAGTTTACAATTCATATGGAAACACAAAAGACCCCAAATGGCCAAAGCAGTCTTGAGAAAGAAGGATGGAGCTGGAGGAATCAACCTTCCTGCCTTCAGATTACACTACAAAGCTACAGTCATCAAGACAGTGTGGTACTGGCACAAAAACAGAAATACAGAACAATGGAAGAAGATAGAAAGCCCAGAAATAAACCCATGCACCTATGGGTACCTTATTTTTGACAAAGTAGGCAAGAATATACAATGTGGCAAAGATAACCTCTTCAATAAATAGTGCTGGGAAAATTGGACAGCTATATGTAAAAGAATGAAATTAGAACACTTCCTAACACCATACACACAGATAAACTCAAAATGGATGAAAGACCTAAATGTAAGATCAGAAACTATAAAACTCTTAGAGGAAAACATAGGCAGAACACTTGATAACATAAATCGAAGGAGGATCCTCTATGACCCACCTCCTAGAGTAACAGAAATAAAAACAAATGTAAACAAGTGGGACCTGATTAAACTTGAAAGCTTTCGCACAGCAAAGGAAACTATAAGCAAAGTGAAAAAACAACCCTCAGAATGTGAGAAAATAATAGCAAATTAAACAACTGAAAAAGAATTAATTTTCAAAAATATACAAGCAGCTCATATAACTCAGTACCAGGAAAACAAACAACCCAATAAAAAAGTAGTGAAAAGACCTAAACAAACATTTCTCTAACAAACACATGAAAAGATGGTCAACATTGCTTATTATTAGAGAAATGCAAATCAAAAGAACAATGAGATATCACCTCACACCAGTCAGAATGGCCCTCATCAAAAATTCTACAAGCAATAAATGCTGGAGAAGGTGTGGAGAAAAGGGAACACTCTAGCACTGTTGGTGGGAATGTAAATTGATACAGCCACTATGGAAGATGGTATGGAGGCTCCTTAAAAACTAGGAATAAAACCACCATATGACCCAACAATCCCACTCTAAGGCATATACCCTGAGGAAACCAAAAGTAAAAGACACATGTATCCCATTGTTCATTGCAGCACTATTCACAATAGTTAGAACATGAAAGCAGCATAAATGTCAATCAACAGATGAATGGATAAAGAAGTTGTGGTATATATATACAGTGAAATATTACTCAGCCATATAAAAGAACACATTTGAGTCAGTTCTAGTGAGATGGATGAACATACTATACAGAGTGAAGTAAGTCAGAAAGAGAATGATAAATATCATATTCTAATGCATATATATGGAATCTAGAAAAATGATACTGAAGTATTTATTCACAGGGCAGCAATAGAGAAATAGACATAAACATAGAGAATAGACTCATGGACACGGGGAGAGAGGAGGAGAGGGTGAGATGTATGGAAAGAGTAACATGGAAACTTACATTACCATATGTAAAACAGAGAGCCAATGGTAATTTGCTGTATGGCTCAGGAAACTCAAACAGGGCCTCTGTATCAACCTAGAGGGGTGGGATGGGGAGGGAGGTGGGAGGGAAGTTCAAAAGGGAGGAGATATATGTAAACCTATGGCTGATTCATGTTGAGGTTTGACAGAAAACAACAAAATTCTGTAAAGCAATTATCCTTCAATAAAAAACAAATTAATTTTAAAAATCACATTCTTGGAAAATAAAACATAATAAACATGAAAAACAGCAAAAGAGTTGGAAGATAAAGTTCAGGAGATTTCCAGGGAAGTAGAAAAGAAAGAACTAGAGGTAGAAAATAGATGTTAGAAGAATGAGCCAGAAGGTCCAACATCCCAATGATAGGAGTTTAAAAAAAGTAAAGGGGAAGGAAATCATTAATAGGTCAAGAAATTTCCCTAAATGGAAAGATATGAGTTGTTAGAATGAAGAGACCACCAAGAGGGCATAATAATAGATGCAAATTGACCCCTACCATATGGGCTCAGAGCGTGCACAAAGAGATCATATCCAGAGAGTCAGGAAGCAGAGTGTCTTAAGTCTTCTCAAAGGGAACTCCAGGAGAAGAAAGATAAAATTATGTGGAAAATTATTTCCAACCTAAAATCCATTCAAGCTATCAATATGATCAGAGAATAAAGAATTTCAGGAATGCGAAGTCTCAAAAACTGTTCCCCTCAAGATGCTGATAGACAGTGTGCTCCACACAGAGTAAATCAAGAATGGGGAACACCCAGGGTGCAAGAAGAAGGAGATTCCAGGAGAGAGGAGCTCAGGGAACTGCAGGAGGGTGGTGGACACAGAGTCCCACCTTGTGCTGTGCAACTCAAGAGTTAGGCAAGGTGATGGCCGTTGTTAGTAAGATCGCTGCTGTAACAGTGCTTTGCAACCCTAAGACGAAAGAACCTGGCTTAGATCATCACCTCTCATTTACTCATCCAAAATACCTGCTCAGTGCCCCATGCCCATGGAGTTACTGAAAGCATCCCTCTTTCACCCCACTGAGGAGCCCAGAGCCACCCACTCCCCCCCTGTGGCTGTATTCCCAGCAGATGCCAGTGTGAGACACAAGTGCCTGCTCTTCCAGATCCGCAGACCAGTGATCTCTGACTCCCAGGACTTTCAAGACCCTGCCTGCTGACTTTCCCTGGAGAGGGTCCTGCAAATCCCGAGTCAGTGAATCCAGACTGAAATCGGTAGCTATGTATCTTATCATTTTGTATCTCCCATCTTCTTCTGAAACAGCAATGCTGCCTTTTCCTTGCATAACTTGTTTTGTGTTGGCCACAGAGGTACTCAAAACCAAGCAGTACACTGTTTCTGGCTATATTCTGAGGGAACTAAAATATAATGAATAATTGACACAAAATTGGGGATGGGTGGAGTAAAAGGAATGGGCAGGGAAATGGTACCCGGAGTCTCCCCAGGCACTGACGAAGTTCTAGTTCTTTACCTTACTGGTGGGCTTATGGGTGCTTGTATTACTGCTTTTCTTTCTCCCTTCCAGATACTTCTCTTTATACATTTACTTCTGTTATATCTATAAAAATATGAAATTATAAAACCTCATGTCATTATTATGGAATGTGAATTAGAATAAAAGATTCATTTTTAAAAATCCTGAAAAATGGGGAAGAGTATAAGGATGCATCTTTAAAGCATGGTTTTTCAGTGTAAAAAATTATTTAATGCCAAATTATATATTATTTGGTTTGGAGTCAAATGAATACAAGCTTTAAAATTTATGTTGTATCATCAAAATAGACTAAAAAGAAAGAAGCTGCTTTTATAACCTGATATATGGAGTTCTTTCATTTTGCACTTTAAAAAAATGAGTACCCACCCCAACATACACACACACTGTCTCTGAATTTTGATTTTAAATGATGAGATAGAAGAATTATAACTGTTATTTCAAGAAAGTCTCAAAAAGCACCATGTAGACACGTATAACAAATGGTGTAAACAGCCATGGTTTGTGGATTGGATGATTATCCTCAACTGTCATGTTTGTGTCCAAAAAGAATAATAATTACAACACATTCAAACCCTTCAGATATGCTTAAATTCATGAGTTCATATTGATATCAAGTTTTAAAAAATACTTATTAACTGCATTATGAGAATGGTAGGGAGCTACCTCATTTTGGAAACAGGCAAGTAAAAAGAAAGAATCAAACACCTTTTTTGCCTTTCTTATAAACTATACCACTGAGTAAATAAGAGAAAGTTTATCTTTCCAGAAGTATTCTCACTAATAAATAAAAAAGCATGACAGGTTAAAGTATCAGCATTTTACAACCTAAAGCAATAAAAGACCAAAGCTACCATTTGCCATGGTGGAGCTACTGTGATTACAGAAAGGACCGCCAGACACAAGGGGCCTAGTGACAGAAGCACCAACAAGATCTGTGAATTAGCCTTGCAAGAGCACTCAGACATAACCAAGATATTCTCAAATCATTAGACCTAACTATGAGTTTATAGGATATACACCTAGAACAATATATGGAGAATACTTTGAGGGCACAACCATAAAAAATCTAGACAATGAAAAATTCTGTAGAACAGACAACCTGGTTTCTTTATTAAATAACTGCGAGAGAGAGAAGGTCTACAGAGTAAAAGAGAATTAAAGGCAAAAAATCAGTAGTAATGAGGGTATGATTCTAATCCTAATTCAAATGAAGACACTGTAAAAAATTATGAGACCATCTGGAACACCTGAACATGGATATTTCATAATATTGTTAGGTTGTAGGTGAGATAAAGATAGAGTAATTGTGTATATGAAAAAAAAAAGCTTTATCTTTTAGAGGTATATGCTCAAATGCCACCAGTAAAATAGACTGATGTCTAAGATTTGCTTCAAAATAACTCAGGAAGCTGGAAATGGGTGGCTATGGGGATAAGATTGAGCAAGACTGGTCATCTGTCAATAACTGTGGAAGCCAGTGATGGCTAAATAGGATTTTCAAATTATTCTCTTTACTTTTATATTTTTTTGAAATTTTCTCACAAGAGAAATTTTAAAAGTTTTTGCCTCAAATAAATAGTAAATTACTGTGTGGCTCACAACAAACTGTGGAAAATTCTCAAAGAGATGGGACTATCAGACCACTTCACCTCTCTGCTGAGAAACCTGTATGCAGGTCAAGAAACAACAGTTCGAATTGGACATAGAACAATGGACTGGTTCCAAATTGGGAAAGAAGTATATTAAGGCTGTGTATTATATTGTCACCCTGCTTATTTAACTTCTATGTAGAGTACATCATGTGAAATGCCAGGCTGGATGAATCATAGGCTGGAATCAAGATGCAGGGGAAAATATCAAGAAACTTATATATGCAGAAGATACCACTCTAAGGGCAGAATGTGAAGAGGAACTAAAGAGCCTCTTGATGAAGGAGAAAGAGGAGAATAAAAAAAGCTGGCTTAAAACCCAACATTCAAAAAACTAAGATCATGGCATTCAGTTCCATCACTTCATGGCAAATAGATGGGGAAAAAGTGGAAACAGTGATAGATTTTATTTTCTTGGGCTCCAAAATCACTGCAGATGGTGTCTGCAGCCAAAAATTTAAAATACTGTGCTCCTTGGGAGAAAAGTTATGACAAACCTAGACAGTGTATTAAAAAGCAGAGACATCATTTTGTTGACAAAGGTCTGTATAGTCAAAGTTACGGTTTTTCCAGTAGTCATGTACGGATATAAGAGTTGAACCATAAAGAAGACTGAGCACTGAAGAATTGAGGCTTTCAAATTGTGGTGCTGGAGAAGACTCTTGAGAGTCCCTTGGACTGCAAGGAGATCACACCAGTCAATCCTATAGGAAATCAACTCTGAATATTCATTGGAAGGACTGATGCTGAAGTTGAAGCTCCAATACTTTGGCTACATGATGCAAAGAACTGACTTGTTGGAAGATGCTTGGAAAGATTGAGGGCAGGAAGAAAAGAGGATGATAGAGGATGAGGTGGTCAGATGGTATCACAGATTCAAAGGACATGAGTTTGAGCAAACTCAGGGATATAGTGAAGGACAGGGATGTTTGGCACGCTAAAAAGTTCATGGGGTTGCAAAGAGTTGGACATGACTGAGCAACTGAACAACAATAAAATGTTTGTGGTATATATGATTAACAAAGGGTTTCTGACATTAATACAAAGAATTTCTTACCTATAAATGAGAAAAAGAAGTCACAAAAGGACAAAGAATATGGACATGCTTCACCAGAAAAGAGATACAAAGGGCCAATGAATATATGAAAAAGAATTTGAACTCCTTAAAATTAAAGAAATACAAGGAGTGAGCCTAATTCTGGAGAAGAAAGTGAAGGAGTAATTATGAGATTTCTCATAGACTTGGGAGAAAAAGAAGAGTCAGCATCCAAGCAAGTCTCTTGAGATATGCTGTATACTCTGTATGTGTGTGCACACATAAATAAAATATATGAACAAAGTCAAGAAGATAAATTTAAACAGTTATAGACATTCTTACTTCATTAAACACATAATTGGGATAAAAATAGACCAAAAATTTTCATCTAAAAAGTTAAGAAAGTGCTTCAAAATTATTTTAAATGAGATGGTACCTTGTATTCTGCCTGGGACTCCAGTCCTATAAGTTAAAATATTCTCAAAGAAAACTTTAATGCCAACATAAAGGGTGTTGTCCAGGCCAAAGACAATTCCCCAAGACATGGAAGATGACTGAGCAGACTCTAAGATGTTTAAAGCCACCTTAAGTAAGGAAAATGCTGATAAGTTCCTGACATTACCAACCCCACTTTCCAGTGGGAAAAAATGCTATTGTTACAAATAAACATCACTATACATCATGGAGTTAAACAAAATACACAACAAACTAAATTTAAAAAGTGAAGACAATAGCAAATTACCATTCAAAGTAAAAAGTAGCAACAGCTGAAAAATGAGACCAACTCTAAAAGCATTTATGATGCAATTTTTTTCCCGAAATTGGGACAAGTTCAACTCACTGAGCATGGACATCTAAGAGATATACAACCTGACTAGTATTGTATGTCAGAATATTTTTTCCTATACAAAAATAATTCAGGAATATCTACTCATTTAACAAAATTCAGCTGAGACATAAATGGAGAATGGAAAGTGTTTGCCTTGACCTTCTCCCACAATGCAACTGTAACAAAGGAGAGCAAACCTGACTCCACGTTAGACCTGCTTCTTTAGCTCTAACCCTTGTGCTTTGTTGCCTGTGCTTAGTCATGCTGGCTCTGCACCTTTGTAAAAGAAAGTTGCTATAGCCTGAAATATACTTAATAGCCCATTCTCAAGGCTCTGACCTTTCAAAGCATAACACTTTTCCGTTTATGTATTCAAAGCATAACACTTTTCCATTTATGTAAGATAAAAGCTGCAGAACAGAAAATAACAATTGTCTTGTTGGAGGAACTTTGTGATCAGACCTACAGCTCCAAGAACAAAGGATTCCTTCTCTAAGAAGTTTGCAACAACCAGCCACACCTCCTCCCCTTTTAGTATAAAAGAAGCCTGGATTTTAACTTTGGAAAGATGGTTCTTTGGGACACTAGTCCACCATCTTCTCAGTCTGCTGGCTTTCTGAATAAAGTGGCTAGTCCTTGCCTCAACAGCTCACTTCTCGCAGGGTGTTGGTCTGTCATGAGGCAAGCAGTATGAGCTTGGAGTCAGTAACACAACTTGCAAGAGGAGATACAGGTAATGGGGAAGAGAAAAGAGTTCTATTTGATAGCCAAAGTATGGAAACCAATAAAATGTCTGTCAACAGAAGAATGGATGAAGCAAAAGACGGTGTATACATACAATGGAATATTATTCAGCCATCAGTAACATCAAATATTTAACTTTTGTTTTTGGTGTGAGTATTTAAATTCTACTCTCTTAGCATATTTCAATCACACTTGACCCCTGAGCAACCCAAGTTTAAACTGCACAGGTTCACTTACACATGGAATTTTTTCAATCCATACATACTACAGCACTACATGACTCAAGGTTGGTTGAATCTGCGGATGTGGAACCACAGATATGGAAGATGGACTGTACAATTTAGGCAGACATTTTACTTCAAGAAGAACTGGCCTGCCTAACCTGCATGTCGCTCAAAGGTCAATATCATATAGGGTTATCAACTATAGCGTAATGTTATACATTAGATCCTTAGGGTTTATTCATCTCGTAACTGAAAGTGTGTACCTATTTACCAACTTCTCCCTATCTCCTCCATTACTCAGTTCTTGGCAACCATCATTCTATTCTGTTTCTATGAGTTTGATGTTTTATTTTAGATTCTGCGTATAAGTGATACCATGCAGTATGTGTCTTTCTTTGTCTGAACTATTAAACTTGGCATAATGCCCTCCAGATTCAACCTTGTTGTTGTACATCACAGGATTCCCTTCTTTTAATTACCCTGATACAGCAAATCCTTTTACAATGTATATGTATATCAAGTCATCATACTTACATGTTAAATATCTTACAATTCTATTGGTCAACTATACCTCAATAAGC